GAATTAGCCACATCCAAAAATGGAGACAAAATTAATGTTTATGTTCAGGATTGAAGTGAGTCGACAGGTATATGCATAATTATAAAACTTTATAAATCGCTTGATAAAATGAATAGTCACATGGGTTGACCTTGAAATGGCATGTGTAAATAGTTATTTGCAATAGAAATAAATAAATCCGTACATCAAACTTTCTTTATTAGTTTATTTGGTCCAGACTTGAATACAGCATCAATTCCAAATACTTCAATGTAGTTCAAGGCCAGCTATTATCAGAAATTATAACATTAATTAAAACCTCATCTAATCCCAAATACCTTTGAACACGTAAACTTGAACACATAAGGATTCCAACTCCTAATTGCTATAGCCAATTCATCTTCGAGAACAAATTTTATTCTATTTGAGAGCCTATATCGGCATGAATTCAAACTGACAGAAAGGTAAAAGGTCGGGCAATTAATCCAATTCATGAATACCAAAGGATGCTACATCCCGGGTTTAGAGTGTTTTGCATTTCGTTCAGTTTATGGCGCCTCTCACTGGCAAAAGTTAAAATAGCACTGGTTTCGAGACTATTTAAATACGGGTCAAGGGATGCAGGATAAATGAGTCGGAGGATGATATATCTCCTGGGTTTTATACAGCATTTTATTGTTTTAAGTTAAAATCTGGGCTGTAGCCGGGATTTGACGGGGGGGGGGGGGGGGGTCATTTTTATAAAAATCTAAGGGATTCACTTTTGAAATGGCCAAAAAATGACCAAAACCCTTGAAAAAGTGCTCAGCTGCATGGTTTTGAAAGCATTTTTGGCAATGGTAGAAGGTCCTGGCTACGGCCGGGCCTGTTACATAAGTTTGTTAATGATAGATTCAAACTGATAGCATGGTCGGTCATACGGGGGTCCTATCCTTAAATCCATAAATACTCTGATAGGACGCTGTCCCGGGGTTTTTGTGTCGTTTCGTTCAGTAAATAGCACTGGTTGCGAGACTATTTTAGTACGTGTTTCGTATCCATATATACTCTGATAGGACGCTGTCCCGGGATTTTCGTGTCGTTTCGTTCAGTAAATAGCACTGGTTGCGAGACTATTTCAGTACGTGCTTCGAAAACCATCAGCACGGGTTTAGGAAACCCGGGTTCTGTCAGTGTTTGCCATCGACCCTTTCTCGGGGATGGGGGTGCAAGAAAGTATCCCGGCATAAATAATGTCAGATCAACATCCTAGATATAGTGATATCTGGACACCCTCTCCCCCATCTAACGGCCCTGAGATTCAAAGAGCTCTTTGAAAGTGTCCAAAAAATGATGAAAACTGCATGTTATTGAAATTTTGGCCTTTAAGAGTTCCCCCCATCTACCCTTGACTCTTACCATGGACATAGAGGAAATTTCCGCCCTTACATAAAAGTGTTGTTGGTGGGCAGAGGAAATCGAGTACGTATTGATCTAGTTAATTAGTGGATTACAGATAGATTAAAGGAAAGGTGACTTGAAAGTGAATTCTCAAAATTGAGAATTCTGATTGTAATCAAAACTATATGAATTGATACCAATCGCACGGACATGGACTAGTATTTTGAATCATTTCATATTCTATCCAACAGCACGTGAAATCAAAGCTACATTAAGCTACATTATTTATTGAAACTTAAATAAGGGACAATATTTTTTTACCTTTTATGTTAGTCTCAGATGTTGCTTCCATTTTTTTGAGTTTTTGAGGCGTACTTATGGTCACTTGTGTAATCATTAGAGTTTTTAATGCGCACTTTTGGTCTATAGGCCTGTCATTGAGGTACATTCTAAAATTGTCTCAGTTTATCAGGTTTAGATCTGGCCATTTTGACTATATATAATTGTTAAGTTTTAAGCGCAGTTTTGGTCTATATGCTTATAATAGAAAACTTTAATGAGATGATTTGGTCTACGCTACCCTTTGCATTCGTTTGACTTCACTTCTTAAAAGAGAGCTTCGTCTTCGTAGTTTAACTACTCTGCACGCAGGGTAGGTCTACGCCATAAAAAAAACTTTAAAAAGAGGCATACTATTGGTCTATACCTGAAAGTAAGGCGTATTAGAGGTATACTTTTAGTTTACGCCTCAAAAACCTATCAAAACGTAATTTGAATAAATGAACTTTTATCCTCTTTATGGAACATTATACATTTATCAATGTTAGAAAGGGATCTCAATTTTAAAAATTAAAACGTGTTGCAAACACTATGATTGATATTCGAGTGAAGCGCACATCAATATCCAAACAAATATTACAAAGGTTTATTTTAAGTTCTTAGTTTTCTCCATAAAAAGTACATGCATAAATACCCGTGAAAATCAACGTGGCTCACCGACAGTCACATAATATTACTTACATAGGCCTACTTCCCTCGTGTTTAATGATAGCGTTATTAACACAATGCGTGGTATTTGAATGTGCATTATTTACTGATAACTTTATAATTAATAAAATTATATTTTACTTATTATTTAGAAAACCAGGTCTGTTTCGATTACTACACTGTACCTGACAAGAAATGAGCGCTGCAAAGTCGATCGTGTTCTTTTGGTTCCCAGTTTTGCCTTTTTACAGCATTTATCCATAGCTTTCTTTTTACAGGTGACTTCTTGTCACTCGGAAAGCGATAAAACGTAATGCCGACTTGTTATCTATTCGAACATTCAACAGCAACGCAGCATTTAGGCATACTCTTTTAACTTTTTCTCATCACTTCGTCGCCATTTAGAGCACTGGTTGCTTATGACGTTTTCTAGACGGCCAGCAATATTTTCTGGCCGGACAAAGGCATGACGTCACACTGATGCATAGGGTCAATAACGTTTTTATCGTGTGATCCTCTGTATTGCTACTGAGAAGGTCCCCTGTGCCAATATTTTCTGCATTGCGACGGAGATGATCAATGGGGACAATCTCAGTAGCAATACAGATTGGTACAGCACAAGAGCTGACCAATCAGAAGGCTTCATTTTACAGATCACACTATAATTGTACATATCGTACTTGTAGTACCTGCTAGATGTGGACATTTTCCCCGGGGCATTTTCAAAATGTCAGACTTAATGTTTTGAAAAAAAGAGGGTCATTTTAACCAAAACATCAATGTTTCTTTTCTACTATATCAGAAACTTCTGAAAGGGGGAACCACATTGAAGTGTGATAAGGTGAAAAACAACATATACCATTTCATTCTCCCATAGGGAATACTTATGGTACCATTTGCTTTCAGCCTAAGTTTGGTCACCCAAATTTGAAATCTTCCATATATTCAACTTTTCTTGCTGTATAATCGGTTTCTCCAACAAAAATGAATAAAAATGTAAAGTTTTTAGAAAATAAGTCAAGCATTTTGAAATTGCGTTGATTTTGGGGTCTTTTCTTGGCCATGTTTTTTCGGAGATTTGGATAGATAATTTTGTTATCCTGGGGACCTTACTTAGAGGTGAACATTTCTTTCGATGAGCAATGTTATTTATGATGTGAACAATTATTTTGTTTAAAGGGGGCCCTTTCAACTCATTAACCGTACCATAGGTTCTGGGCCGATATAAAGATGGCAGCACCAACAGAATCCAGTATTATCTATTAATATTTATAAATAAACACAAATCGATTACCATGCCATCTTTATTTAAAAATTATTTCTATCGACCTTTGCCTATGAACCGTACCATAGCTGGTCCCTTTGTCATCAAAATTCCAGGAAAAACGCATTCATTCAATTTGAAATTTTTACGGCTGACTAGTGCCAAGATCTGATTTGGTTTTGGGCGTACTTGGTGACACTTTTGAATTTTTCGATTAAAAGCATTGTGTCTTGTTGATTAGTACCGGATTTTCTCGCATATACGCCCCCCTAAATTTAGGCCCATGGGCCAGAAATCGAATGTAATACGCTTATACGCCCATGGGCCTATAAAAAATGACTATTTATTGATTTTTTTCAATAAATTCAAGAGTATTTTATCACTGGCAGATCGTTCTGTCGTTACTTTGATTCAACATTAAGTTCAACGTTGTGCCGCAAGTGGCAGTGGTGGATCGTTCTGTTGTTACTTTGTTTCAACATTAAGTCCAAGGTTGTAGGTGACATTTCCTTTATAAATCTTACAAAACATGCAGTAGGACTACAACAGTAGGTACGGTAGTCCATTGTATTCATCAGCTCTTCTCACCTTTACGCCCACTGGGCCAAAAATCGAAAGTAGTACACTTATACGCCCATGGGCGAAAAATAAGAGGTAAAATAATAGACGAAATTACCCCTTCTTTCAGTTATACGCCCAGGGCTTATATGCGAGAAAATCCGGTAATAGCTAGTGTATGGAACATGAGCCCTAGTGACATAATTATAACAAACTCTGCAAGATAAACAATTCACACGGAAAAGATTGCCCAAATCTCATCTGGTACGACATACCTTCTTAGCACATCTCCATTGATCTCCATTGTCCTCAAATACATCCCCAATTTCATGAATTTCCATTGTTTATAGTTACCTCCCGTCCTCCCTCATCTCCATTGTTCATAAATACCTCCCCCAGGGACATGTACCTCACTCGTCTCCATTGTTAACATTCACGCATACACAAATCTTCTCCAATGTTTACACACCTCCCCCATTTCCATTTTAAAAAACACCTCCCTCATCTCCCATGTTCATCCCCCTCTCTCATTATACATCACTCTTCTCCATTTTAGAAAGACTATACATAAAATCTAACGATGCTTCATACATAGTTTCCCTCAGGGAGATTTTATGTTGCCAAACTTACGAAGGGGTGTATTTCATTGACTAGTTTATCTAGAAGCTATCTAGCTAGATTTTCGTTATGTCCGACACGTTCACAATATATGTCCCTTTCCGTCCAACGATAGAATATGGTTTGTTTTAATACAGTTTTAAAAGGAATTATATTCCGATAGGCTGGTTTTGGACAAAATCCATTAATAACGATAAAGTATGATTATATTTAATGCAGTTTTAAGGGATACAATCTTATAGGCCTATTCTAGATAAAAGGTTTAATAAAATGTCCACACATTGTATAAGGAAAACATTTAATGAGACATGTATGGGGGGGGGGTAGTAGTCCTGCATGGTAAATAGTCATTTTGTCCCAATTAAGCATCATCATATATTTCATTCTTGAACATTTCAATTCCATCAGGGACTTCGCTATTATCCCCTGTCTCCTCAACGGCATTGTAAACATCCACATCTTCTGCAATATCATACAATCCGACTTGGTCTATTTCCGTATTGGCATATATCACCTCTGGTTTTGGAGCTTTTGTTTTAACATCAACTCGAGCGTATATATCTTTCGGTTCTGTTTTGGTATGCAAGTTTGGTGTGACTACTGCAACGGTTTGGTTTGAGTCTGTCTTGTTATTCTCACTATGGTAAATACTTTCTGCCTTTGAAGGATTCTTACAGCTGTTTTGATGTCGATTTGAAATGATCAGCAAAATCGTAAGGATAAATGAGGCGAACACGAATACAACCAAACCAGCTATGAGCCCAATAGTCAGACTATGTGAGGAAATAGACTTAACAGAACCTGTAGCACGAGAGTGGGTTTCAGGACTATCTTCACATATTGTAGTGGTATTCTCAATGTTTGAATCAGTAGCAGTCGTTACTGTTGAAGTGGTATTTTCAACAGTTAAATCAGTAACAGATGTTACAGTTGTAATGGTTGTTACAGAAGTCGACTCTATCTGAATTTGGTCACATGACTCTATCTCGCATATGTAAGGCAACTTGGAACAACATGATGAATACTGGATTGTTAAGTTGCCCCCTGTTGATGTCCCCATGGCAGGACATTTTCCACAAGGGAAGTCTGTTGGGCAAGGGTTATTTGATACCAGAAGGTCAAATCTCATCGCAGGCAGATATCTACCGCCATGCCAACTTTGCGGGTACAGACGTATGAACTGTGCATTGAACGCCTTCGTAAAGTTCCTGTAAACTGGTGTACTGCGGTCCTTATTACCAGACAATTCTTCATTTCCATTATCCCAGAGTGTGCGGAAGGTTTCACCATATTTTTTATAAAGGAGTTTGTAAACTGTTGTCCACTCATCTGTATTCCTTCGTCCTTGAGTAACAATGCCATGTATACACATTGTTTTCCCTAGATCAACCTGGACCCAATGACAAAGTCTTGTGAATTTACTAGGTACCCATCCATATATACTGTTGAACTTAGCGTGTTTTGCTTCTGACCACCTGTTATAATATGAAGAAGATTTGAGTTGGTCATCTGATATATTCTCAACGATGAAATAAGGTTCACTCAAATGTGATTGATCTATCGTTTCATCAATATCACCAGTATATCCTATCCAGGCCTTATCTAACGAATATTTCCACATAGCATCTTTTGCACTCTGTTCAGATTGATTGTCCACTACTTTGATGATTGTTCCATTCATTCTGCTACACTCGATAGCAGCCTCGGACCATGTCAAGTTCTCAGAGTCCACAACAAGGGTGTCGTCTCTCATCAGTTTATATCCAACTGGACATAACAAGCCATCTGTGTATCTGGTAGAAACTATTATCATTAAGAGAATCTTAAATACACACCCCATTATGATTGTTTCTAGATGAAATGAAATTTCCTCTAAATGTTTTGTTCAGTATCATTGCTACATTTTAACTCATTTTTACTAGTCACATTTGAACTTCCTGGTTTATCTGAAGTTCATTTTCTTAATTTCCTTAAATTTCTCTTTGAACAAAAAGCTCTATAACATGTACTGCTGACACTTTTTATATAATATAAAGTGGGATGGACGCTATGTTAGTCCCTGGATTTCATTGTCTACAAGGAGCCTAGGATACTCGGGGCAGAAATATTACAAAGGAGGTTATTTATACATTTTATACTTCATGGGCAAAAGGCTGTCATTCTCATTGTGGATAATCGTAGTATTTCTTTTTTATGATTTATATGCAACGAACACAGTTGATACGTAACTTGACCGACGAATTTTGACTTAAAATGAATGAACCCAATATGGCTGTGTTTATGTTTTAAGCAAATATTTCATTCTATGGAGGGCAATACCTGTTCATCTTTCAATGATTTTTGGGGTATGTATTGCCCGCAGCCCGTAGGGCGAGGGAAATACATGATGCAAAAATCATTGAAAGTGCAACAGGTATTGCCCGAACATAGAATAAAATATTTGTTTTATTATATCATTGCTAGACATTCCCTATGATCATTTATTTTAATCAATTAATATATCATTAATCCATAAGTGAACATAATTACGTATAAGTATCATTGAATGGTACACTTTATTTTCGTCCAGTGTAGTTGTCAGAATTCCCGGGCGGGCAATACGCCGGGCAATACGTCTTTTATTATCCTAAAATTGAGGGAGCTGTGAAATACGTTATGGTATTTTTGATCACATGGTACTGACTCGACCAATCAAATCACACAATTTCTAGCAATGATATAATAATGATATATATTGCCCCATAAATATCGCAGTTATACATTTTTTTCTCATTAAAAATATAAACAATGTTATCCGATGAGGAAAGAATGTTGTTTTTCATGGCACTTCTTGTGAAATGTCACAGTGAACTTTATGTTCACAATCAGACGATATGTCTGCCGAAAAAAGAAAGGGGTCATTTCTAAATAGTCAAAATCGAAATCATTTACAAATCATCGTGTAAATGGTCATTCGACTGTTGTACGGTAAAAGTAAAGATATGAATCTCATGTGGGCACAACACGAATTAGTTCAATGCAAAGGATACCAATGCCCATAAAATGTGAATCCAGATTAATCATTATTTTGTTGATTATAGGCTAAATAACAGATTTATGTACAGATTGTGCTCATACAGTATTGTATTGAACATATGTCACCTCATTGAGATGCGTTATTTTCATATTCTTCCTTCAAATAATTGATTCTATAATTTCTCTACATATAAAGGCATATTTGTGGGAGATGGGATAAAATTCTCAAAGGCTTGATGCAAAACCCTGGTGCAAAACTTTTTATTATTGTGGCCTAACGTATTTGTCTATGACGGTCCCGTAAATATTTCTCCAGGAATGAAATCACAAGTCTAAAATTGTGGATAGTTTGGTAAACGTCACATACGCTTTACATATCACCGTCCCACTGGCAGATCCAGGAGCTAACAATTAAGGGGGGGGGGGGCATATTTCAATTTATTATTATTTTTTTTATTTATTTATTTATTTAGAAAAACAATTCCGCCCCTAAATCACAAAATTGGGGCCAAATTTTGAAAATAGAACAAGAAACAATTACATATAATATTCAAATCTACACCCCCCTGCATAAGTGTCACAACCAGAACTCTCCTTTTTGGTAACCCAACATAAGAAAACGTACAGTATGGCAAGTGATTTTAGACAGTCATATCTTTCACCACGAGTACTTTCTGGCCATAAATACAGTGGATTTCATTGAAACAATATGCTTTCTTTCAAGTGAAGTCCCCATGATAGTAAAATATCTATCGAACTCTCTGAAAAATTATGGATTAGTGCCCCACCTTGGCACTTTTTGGAAAATGTTAGGCTTATTTTCTAAAAAGAGGATCTTGTTTTTCTCAATCTATACATATCGAAAGTCTCCTCTACATTATATTAACAATTTCTGAAAAGGGGATGGGTATTGAAATGAGTTAAAGTTATTAACCACATATCCCATGTTATTTCCCCGTAGGGAAAACTCGTGCTTTCCATTGTTTTCATCATAATTTTGGTCATCGAAAATTGATATCTTCAAAACTAGACTTTCAATACCATTCTATTTTTGAACATGTCTTAGACCCCTTGTTGAATAATGTTTTCATGCAATAAAAATCAGAAAAGAAGATGCTCTTTTGAGTAAATAGATGTTGACATGGGGTCCCTATTCATAATTTTTCGGATTGTTTGATTTATGTTTTTATCATCATAGGTATTTCACTTGAAAGAAAATATTGTTTTAATAAAAACCATTGTATTTATGGCCAGAAAGTACTCATAGTAAAAGATATGACCGTCTAAAATCACTTGCCATACTGCACATGGTCTTTTGTCAATTTCCGAATTTTTGTAATTGAGGAACAAAAATAAGATTCAAACATCGACAGATTTTGGTATACCAAACCCTGTCTATTCGTTTTATATTTGTTTGTATTTATGAAATAAACCTATTGATAAAAAACTATCCAATGAAAACATCCGGATGTCAAACTTATGGAGGGGAGTGTATGTAAAACGAATGGTGCTGAAATCCTCGGAGATATTTAAAGGGGCTACTTTCTTGACAATCTGTCATTAAAATAAACCTTTATCAAATTGAAATAGGAAAAGTTAACTTAAAATAAACAGGTCATATGAAAACAAAAAAAGATCAGCACCTGAAAAACATTTACAAAGGATCGTGAATAAATCACATTTTAAAAGTGGTGCGTGGGTTACTAGTTCACCTGCCATGTCACTTTCTAGTTGAAAAAAAGAATTTGATTTGCAAAGAGTGTCCGATTCCAGCCAATCCGAACACAATATTTCATATAACTGCAGTGGATTATATCACCAATCACCGCATCCAAAGTCACTCCTTACGTGGTTGTCAAGGTGACAACTTGACTCTAGAGATTGAAATTGATGCTTGCCAACTTGACCCTTGCAAAGTGTTTCATCGAAGATTTGTTCTTTAGTGATTTCGTATCTTTAAGTGACATGGCAGATAATATTTTGCAAGGTGTGAAAATAATTTGTTTATTTTCCTACTTGGTATTTCAATTGAGCCGTCCAAAACTGATTTTTTCAAACTCGTCCTAACAAACCATTGCTTTTTCAAAGGCGTTTACGCATTTTTATCGTATGAGTAGTGAAGGAACAACGTATTTTGGAAAAATTGCCGCACGCAAAAATGGCATTCAAATGAAGGAAAAGCTCTCACATCTCAAACTTTTTAATTTTTTCAATTCCTGCGTTCAAGATTAAAAAAACGTTGGCAACAACAATGACATAACCCCTGGACTCATGCTTTTAATATCTTCATAATGTTTCGTAATGGAGCTAGTGTCGAATGGCAGTCGCTTTAATATTTTCTTCCAAGTTTTTAAGACAACATAAGATTTAGAATTTAATTTTAAAATAAAATTTGTGTAACTAAGAATCATCATAATCGCATGGTTGACCAGACAAAGTGTATACGTTATAAAATATTTCAAAACTAGGCTCCACTTCCCCAAGGAAGCCGGCAAATAAATCCACCAGGTTGAAAGATAAAATAAAATGACTGTCCGCTATAAGATGGCAGTTATCTGTATAGACATGGCATTAATGTCACAGATGACAGGCACTGTTCTCACCTGAATTACCTTCCTCATTGATTACGTAGAATTCGAGTGAGGTTATTGCGAGGAAGTCCATGACGAGGAAATTAGTTTTGAAAGAAAAAATCAAGTAAAGGAGCCGAATAAGGAAGACGATATGGCGCTTTATTAAAATATTAATACTGGAAAAACTACAATGGAATGCCACATATATTAATATAAGAAAAGGAACAGATTAGGTTGAATAAAAAGAGTCACAAAAATCGACTATTTTTGCACTTATCTTCTACGTTTGATCAGATATCTCAATTTTTCCAGAAAATACAACACGGATTGTAATTATTGAATTATATTATTAAAGCATCCATTCATTAATTAATTGCCGAATTTTCACTAGTCCCTTGGAGTAGTCCAAATATCCAGGTTAATTCTTAAGAATTCGATAAGAGCCATACTCATAACGCCATAAATTGTACTTAACACGACCCAGTTTATGTTTTGAGTGTTTTAAAGTGAAGAACATGATAAGATACTTGTGACTTTGAACAGTGCAGTGGTTTTACACGATTGGGTGTATAACATGTTATATGTATATATAGTCAACAGGATGTTTATATTTTAAAGGATTGAACGTAAAGAGACTATGTTGATATCGATATTGCAGATCAGATATTTTGACAATAGAGTTTATGTAATTGAGATAAAAGAAAATGAGACTGTATTGGAAGGCCCAGGATGGAACGATACACTTGATACTATGAACGCATTCGACACTGTATAACAATTTGTTTGATAGGAATCTTTAAAAAGTACCTGTATTCGGATTAAGGCCTATACAGTTCAAGAAATCAGGGAACGGAGTTTGATTGATGATACAAAAGAGTATTGAGACTATTCGGTACAGTTGACAAAACTGGAGTCACCCAGAGAGTCATTCTACTGACTACCATGTTTAGCACGTATAACAGATATCCTGTCTTGTATGTGCTTTTGGTGGGTTGTATCACAGGCGCTTACCAAAGTAGAGATGGGGGACAATTCTGCCCATCGGGATGCCATTGCACCAACCATGATATTTACAACATCGACTGTAGCAACATGGCGATTACATATATGCCAACTTTCGACAGATTACCACAGGATGTCCCGATCAGCATTAACATGAGTCACAATCGTATTCAAAGTATAGCCAAGGAGGACTGCATACACTTAGGACAAGTGATTCAGATAGACTTAAGCTATAACGAGCTATCACATGTCCACTCGGAAGCCTTCAGAGAACTTACAAACCTGAAGGAACTGCTACTCCATGGTAATATACTAGATACGAGTACGTTCGGAATTTCCAAGCATCTACCAAAGTGTTTAGAGTCCCTCAGCGTCGATGCACGCATACTTACAAGTGAACAAAAATGGGATGGACAATCAATTGTGAACTTAATTGTCTACACCGATGACGCTGAAGCGTTCGAACCTAAATACCAGCAAGGCTTGACTAGGGTTTTCAACCTAAGTATCCATGGGAATAATATAAAATGCATTCCACGTGTGATTTTCGAATGGGAATCTAGCAAGGTCATTAACGTCGAGCTTTCCGGACATAAAATCAAATCACTGGACATTCCTAGACTCTCTAAAGACATAACTATTGGGGACTTGAAAATGAACTTGAGGGGCAATAAAATATCGAAAATCACAGCAATTCAGACGGCAAACTATTACCAGTTTCAAAAGGTTTCTTTGATATTGCCAGAAAACGACATGGACTTTATAGAAGAAGGAATATTCCCCAATATCTCACGATTTGGAGTTTTGGATTTGAGTAGAAACCGTTTAAAAGGTTCTGATATTATTCGACTCTTCAAAAGTATTAGAGATGTACCGATCCATGCATTGCTTTTGAATGATAACAACATTGACTTGAATAAACTCAACGCGGATATTTTTGAACCATTGAGGAATAGTGACTTGCATACTCTTGATCTATCAAAGAATCATATTCACTCTATAGACCGGGATGTATTTCGATTTCTTCCACATTTACGAGAATTGATTGTTTCAAATTTACACCAACCTGAAGTGTTTATTCATACAAATCTTAAACACTTGACAGTACATAGTATACATCCTAGATACGTCCCAGAGTTATTCGCGTCCCTGCCTGGCAGTTTACAAACGTTAACTATTTCAAACATTGAGGATAGCTATTCATCGGAGAAACAATTTGAATTAAAAAATGCACACAACTTACAAAAACTAAGAATAATAGATTCACCGTTCCAGTTCAGTTTAAAACTATGGAATCTAAGTACACTATCTGACCTTGAATTAACCAATTCCGGAATTCGATTACGTGGACTTGATATTGATGATGCAGTTATTTCACAGCTCACCGAAGTCGTGTTTAGAAATGAGGAGACGTTCAACGGGCGTGACATTATCACCTTTTTCAAAATGTTTGACAAAGGGTCAGCACTCGAAGTTCTTGACTTTAGTGATAATGATTGGTCTATTTTAGAGGACACGGAAATACAAATCATCGTAGCTGACCTTGAGCTCAAAAACCTAAAAGAATTACGATTGTCTAACTGCAAATTAAGAGACAGCCACTTAGTTAAGAATGTTTTTAACGGGTTGCCCAAAGTCGTACTTGTTGACCTAAGTTATAATATTCTTGGCCATCTTCCAAATGGGATTTTCAACAGCTTGTCTTCACTTCGTGAGTTGTATCTCCAAGGAAACCAACTAACATTTATCGATCCCAATAACTTTCAACATCTTCCTCTTACCTATGTTAACGTCGAGAACAATCGATTCCGTTGTGACTGTGATATTCGAGAATTCAGTAAATGGATGAGAGAATTCGTCAAAAAGAACGAGACTGCTCTACTCCGGGGATATGATAGCGAATGCAAGTATCCTATAGCTCTTTGGAATAGGGAAACGAAAGTTGTTGATTTTTTCCCGAATGAAATATTGTGCGATGGAAATATCTTCAAAATCACAATTCCAATAATCATTTTCCTCATTGTGATCATTATTACTGCGGCCTTTGTGCATCACTTTTGGGTGGAGATCAAATTCAAAGCTGCTATTTGTTATCAGGATTGTAGTGTCCACGTCTTTGATAGAGGATACAAGGGCGTCCCGTCGGTCCAGTTCTCATTTGATGCCTATGTCGTCCATCACGATACCGACCTATTGTGGGTAATGGATAACCTCCTTCCAAATCTCGAGGAATCTCCAGATCTTAAATTTACGTTATGTCTGGAGGAGAGAAATTTCATTCCTGGAAATTGGCGGGAAGATAATATACTACGAGCAGTACAAACAAGTAGAAAGACAATTTTGGTAATAAGTAAGGCTCTATTACAGAGCTCCGAAGGTGTTCACAAACTTGAGATTGAACTGGCAACTGATCAGTTTTACGAAGGACGTAGACACAGTATTATTGTTATTATTCTTGATCACTGTATCGTCAAAAAACATCTTCCAAAGAAGCTAAGTGTGTTGCTTGACTATGCTGTTGTTTTGTACTGGCCTCGGAAACAGAGTAACATAAATAAATTTTGGAAGGAACTTAAGCTGTCTTTATTGTCAGTGGACAAATATCGATATCAGGGGCCACTCAACCACTCGCATTGCACATCAGAAACATGTGCACTTTGTAGAATAGATACCTCCAAGTTGCTGATTCTTCCAGACAGTCACAAAGGGCCTGCACGGAGTCATAGCTCTCCTTCTTAACAATTTAATACGTACGCGTGAACATTATCTGCACCATGTGCAGTGAGCACGTTGTCAAATTAATGCTGGGAATTGATACCTCCAACAGTGTCCAAGTCATAAGACTTACCTCTAAGTTACTGAAACATCAAGATAGACAGAAAGGAACAGTACGGTACTATACACCATCATACTATCTATGATAGCATTGCCCAAGTCTGTATTATTTTTTATTTATCTTGATTTTCAATTTATATACAGACAAGTAAAAGAGACTGACTTGGGCAAGGCTATATCTGTGCCATTCTATCGAGAATTGGAATATTTGTATAAAGAATTGAACATATTTTTTACATTGTATTATTCATATTATTTGTTATTATTTTGTTGTAGTTAAGATATGGTCATATCATAATAGTGCTATATCGGAGTCTTATTTTTCTTGTCTGCACATTTGCAGATGGTCAGATTTATTTGGAGCGTTTAGGAATGTTCTATACTATACTAATAATAGGGAGTTTAAGCTGGCATATAAAATCGAAAAATGACCAATCGCCCATACAAATGCATCGCTTAAATATTTTCCGTTCACGTTTAGGTTGTGAAAAACATTGCAAGCTTAAACTCCCTAACATCTAGAACTGGGACTGGTGGCTCTTTTAAGACGTTAGTCGTGTTCTAATTTTGTTATTTTTATGTGATTGCAGAATCTTCGTGGAATATCACTTGTGAAAGATGTACAGGTATTCACCTCAATAGAGTGAAATATTTGTTCAATATTTTTGATGACAAACCACAATTATGTTCTTGTCTGTGTTAGATAAACAATCCCAGGTATCAAATATATAAGGGTTATGTACTGGAAGGTTTTGGATATAGGGTATATCCTGGGGGATATGTTTATATCTCCCCGAGGGACTGAAGGGACCAAGGGGAGATATAAATATTTCCCGAGGGATATACCCTATATCCAAAACCAACCGTACATAACTGGTGTATCTCATACTTGAGTGGGTTTGGGGTAGATATAACCTTTACCATCTTTTTTCAAATGACAAGATAGGCCTATACTGTAATAAGCACAATTTATATTTAACATTTTCATAATATTCCTCCAGCTCAATACAATAGAATTGTAACATTTAAACGTTTTGAAAAATTTTAAACTTCTGAAATTTAAATTTTTAATTTTTTTTAAACTTTTGAAAAAATTCCCGTGAGCGGGATGGATATATTGTATCTGCCCGCATTTGGCCTAGAGCGGGACATATACAATATATCCTGCCCGCTCCTCAGATATGATATATAATCCGGGGGATATCTTCCCCAAACCCACTCAAGTATGAAATACATACAAATACGTCACGCATTCACAATAAAGCAATACAATGATTCATTTGGACGGGGAGGGGGTAGTAGAATGTAGTTTTAACTAATTACACATTTCAAGAACAGGTAATCAAAATTGACAGATTAAAATGGTTCTCATTTGTTTGTGGTCGAATGAAGTTGGCCCTTATACCATCATCACCCTGGATTTAACAGGCTTCAACGTGCCATGTTATGAATACCAATAATTAGAGGTTTTTGAAGTTTCCAAAGACTAATTAGGAACAATTTTAATATTTTTCAGTTATCACATGGTTTCATTTTTTTTTTAAGTTTAAGTTTATTGTTCCATTCAGTTTATATACATACATATTGGAGAGGTTAAGCTAACGATGTTTTTCACAACGTAACCGTGAACGCAAAGTACAAAAATTAACAAAGGAATGTATCGAGCGCTCATAGTTTTATGCGCGCTTAGTCTACTTCAGATACTCTTTCAGCTTCAGAGTTTCGGGTTTAGAACGGGAGATTTAAAATTTGACGTTGGGTCAACGGGAACCATTTTACTCGTGTCTATTGAACACTATGCTGTAAATTTTGATTTCGATGTACAGTTGAATTCTTGCTGAACACGATGATGTATGTCATGCATGATTTAGCGCCAAAAATCTTACGAAACGAGCTCGTTTAAAATATGTATTAGAAAACCAGCTATAAAACCGCATCAATGACATACTATAGAATCATTACACGCTATGGTGTAGTCTAAACAAACACTGGATTTGAACGGCTATTTATATGAGAAGGCTACATGAATTTGTATATGGTCGAGTGATACGTACAGGTTCAGTTTCGATTATATATGCAAAGCTTAACCTCTCCAGTATAACAATGTGACGCGGAGCGTATATTGTGTTTTGTATAAAAGATAAAGGTCATATAAGAGAATAATAATTTATAGCTGAAGTGTTGGAACATAAGAAGTAAGAGTGAAAGGACTGCAGAGTAATCATAGAAAATAACTAACTATATCTAATAATTTGAAATGATGTGTTTTTGAGAGCTGCCTTAAATGAATTAATATTGACACATTCCTTAATTTTATTTGGTAATTTGTTGTAGTATGATGGACCAATACACTTTAGAGAATCCCAGCCAACCTTAACAAGAATAAACCATTAAATCACCCTATACTTTGTCTAAAATTTAAGTACACAGATAGACTTAAGTTTGTTGCGAGTACTGAAAAACAAGACTAGTTTGTTTGTATTGATAATGGCATAATGTTTTATTTGATCATAAATGATGATTTATTTACAATTTACAATCATAAAAAACAAAATCAATAAGTCATACCGTCGCGTGAGAATAACTTTGTACTAACTGCCATTTTCAAAAAAATTGAGATAGACATGGAATTTTACTATTTGAAACACAGGCTTTCATCTCAGATACATGCCCCATCTCAATTCCCTCTCATTAAGCTAGAATTCAGTGTGAAATTGTACCATCTCCAGACAAACAGCTTATTTCTAATTTCAAATTGTCATATCTGATATCAACTGTTTCAACCAATCAACTCTCTAAGAATTGGTCATGTGACTTGCAAAACTTGGAGTTATAACAATCTTATATTAAAACGAAGTATGCCAATATGCATGTTATTGTATCTAGAATGAAATAATGTTTTGTAACACAATACCATGCCAGTTTGCATGCCTGTCCTTTCATGTTTTAGTTTAAGAACTATTACAAGTAGATCAAAAAAATAAAATGATACAGTATGTGTAATCCCATGCATATTCAAATTATATGCCCTCAATTACTCTTTGTATTATGGATGCTCATTGGATTATTCATGGCCACATGATATGAAATAGAATTACTAATTTCCTCGAAAACCTAAATCCTTGCTACCAGGGAAGATGAAAAGTACAAATGACCAGTTAATTAGATCATGTGAGCAGTCAAAAGTACCCTTTATCTTCCTTGCTACCAGGTCTTATAGGGGTTTGAATGGCCAAATGCAATAGAAATGCATATACGAAGCTGTCATCATTAAATGTTGAAAATGAAAGACTACTTATTTGTTTCTTCAAATACAGTACATAACTAGATTTGTGAAATTGAACAAGTTCAATTTAAGACTCCAGATTTATTTTACCTAGATAGATCAGTAAAGAGCTGAGTAAGTAACTGAGTAATTAGCTGAGTAAGTACCTTAGTAGTAGTTGAGTAAGTAGCTGAGTAAGTAACTGAGTAAAAAGCTGAGTAGGTAGCTGAGTAAGTACCTGAGTTAGTAGCTGAGTAAGTTGCTAAGTAAGTAATAACTAATTAAGTAATTGAGTAAGTAGTCAAATAAGTAGCTGAGTAGGTAGAGAGGTAAAGTAGGGTATGCAGGAATTTTTGAAAGTATATTTGATCAATCTGCATCGTGAATACTGGCAAGTGCGAATTTCAAACTTCAAAATGGCGTAGAATCTAAACCTGGGGTCGGATTGCAATTTTTGCTACAAGTATACAAAATTTCGGAGAATATCATTGAAGTGTAGTGTCAGAATCGCAAAATAAGAAAAAACTATGAATTTGACCTAGATTTTTTAAACTAGGTATTTTGGTGTCCAAACTTTGAAGGAAAGTAGCTTTTGAGGTCCCCTTCTTCTATGGGCTTTCATTATGTTTAGCTGTACTCATTCTATATCTCGTATTTTTACACTTCAAAAAATTATTCGGTCCCAATGATTTAACATGGGGCACCAAATTTAGCGATTTTTGAGATCTCAAAACGCCATAACTTCAGAACAAGTAGTCGGATCGAAATTTGGTTTGCAGATCTAGATTTCTGAGAAAATTCTACCCTTAATTCATAACTCATACGTTAATTTTGGAAAACTTTTTACTTTGGCCTACTTTTTGGACACCATGTCTCAAAAGTGGGTCAAAATACTTTCTGACGGCAAAACGCTAACACTATTAGCATACTCTTTGCTACCTGTATACAAAATTTTAAAGCAAATCATTTAAATATAGTGTCAGAATCGCAAAAATAAGGGAAAACTATAAATTTGACCTAGATTTTGACCTAGGCATTTTGGTGTCCAAATTTTGGAGCTAAGTAGCCTTCGAGGTCCCCTTCTTTAATAGGCTTTCATTAAATTAAGCTGTACTCAGTCTATATCTTGTATTTTACACTTCAAAAAAATCTTTTTTCCCATTGCCATAACATGGGGCACCAAATTTAGCGATTTTTGAGCTATCAAAACGACATAAATTCCAAACCAAAAGCCGGATTGAAATTTGGTTTGCAGATTTGGATTCCTGAGAAAATTCTACCCTTAATTCATAACTCATACGTTAAATTTGGAGAACTTTTTAGTTTGACCTACTTTTCGGACACCATATCTCAAAAGTGGGTCAAAATACTTCCTGACGGCAAAAGGCTAACACTATTAGCACACTCTTGGCTACATGTACACAAATTTTCGAAGAATATAATTAATCTGTAGTGTCAGAATCGCAAAAATAAGGAAAAACTTTGAATTTGACCTAGATTTTGACCTAGGCATTTTGGTGTCCAAATTTTTATGAAAAGAAGGTCTTGTGGTCCCTTTCTTTTATGGGCTTCCATTATGTTTAGCTGTGCTTAGTTTATATCTCGTATTTTTCACTTCAAAAAAATATTTTTTCCCATTGAATTAACATGGGGCACCAAATTTAGCGATTTTTGAATTTTCAAAACGCCATAACTTCTAAACCGGAAGTCAGATCGAAATTTGGTTTTCAGATTCGGAATCCTGAGAAAATTTCCCATAAGACTAATATCCTGGACATTGGATTCGGTGAAATTTTTTTTGGACCTCGTTTTCGGACACTGATATCTCGAAATCGGTTTGAGATACCAAAAAACTAAATCGACCCTAGGTTTTCTACTTTTTTATGAGGAACACAATGAAAAAAACCAGGATAAAAAATATTGGAGGACGACCGAGATAATGGGAAAAAGTGACAAAGTACTGGATTTGACCTAGTTCTTGACCTTTGACCTAGATAAAAATTTGACCTAATTTCCCAGAAAGCCAGATACATTCCCTAGTTAATCATGTAAGCAGCTTAAAGTAAGCTCTTCTAGTTGGTGAGAAATCTGGGAAGGAGGAAGAGGAAGAATAACTAGATTTTGGAAATTGAACGAGTTCAATTTCAGACTCCAGATCTAGACTTTTTTTAGCCGAGTCATCCAGAATAAACCAAGTCATCCAAAATAAGCTAAGTCCTTAAGAAAAAGAAGGATGGATGGATGGATGGATGGATAAAAAAGGAAGGATAGGATAGAATAGGAAGGAACGATAGGATAGAATAGGAAAGAAGGATAGAATAGAATAGGA